ACTGGGAGACGCTGCCCATTCCTTTCTTTCCTGGATTTAAGCTGCAGGGAAAATGCATTATTTTTTCATTCAAAATTCATTTTGGAACAGATAGCCTTCAGAGATATAATCAGCCACATTATTTCTCTCCATTAGCAGTCCCTGGAGTTTGTCGGAATTCCTTGTCCTTTTTCCTCTCCATCTCACTCTCTCCATCCTCTTTCATGCTAGGTTGTAACACTGCCCCACTGTCTCGTCCAGCCATCACCACACACTCTGTTTTGGATTGAATGACTATTTCAAAGTCTGGACAAGGAGGTAAAGCGAGCTCCCTCCTCCCCACTGGGCTCTGGGCTCACAGTCGCCTGAGCCAGCAAGGTGTTCAAAGATGCCCACTTCTGCCCACAGGCCGAGGGAGGCAGCTTGATGTGACGCAGAGCTGGCCTGGCCGGTAGCCAGGCTAGGCAGAGCTAGGAGGTTCCTGGCTCCCCACTTACTAACTGGGTGACCCCAAGCAAGTAACTTCTGTTGCCCTCACAGGGTGGTCAAGGTTGGCACTGACATATATGAAGCACCTCCCCTGAGGTATATAGCAAGTGCCCTATAAAAGGCAGCTGTGGTCGGGATGTCCAGGGACAAGAGGGGGCTTTTGGGGGCTGAATGAGCAGTGAACGGGGCAGCATGAAAAACGCAGCCTGGTCTCACTGAGAATCAGAGTCCTGTGCTCGGTGGTGCCCCACGGCTTGGGGGCAGGAGTCAGGGAGAACCACGACGAGGACCCCTAAGGAGCAAGACCCCTTCAGAGCAGGAGGGAGCTCGTGGGGACTCAGCTGCCCAGGGCTGAGTGCCTCTCTTTTGATGACTGCAGTGGCTTTTACCCAGAGTTGCTCCTATGGGGTATTCCTGGCGTGCATGATAACTGGATTCAAGGTGACAGAGCTGTCATCTTCAACTGACTGAGGGGAAGAGGAAAGCAAGTGAGGGCTTCCCAAGATGATGGTGATGGCCCCAAATGCAGCAAATAACCCCGTGGCACTCCAAGTAGCCCTGGGGACTTCAGGCTGGGCTGGCTATTGCTCTGGGGAATTCCAACACCAGAGGCTCAGAAGACAGCCGTCTCCACCCCCAGCCCCCCAGCCCTCTGCTCGCCTCCCGCTAGTGACACATGACGTGCAGCTGTCTCCAGCACTGTCAGAAATACCGCACTTCGTGGAGGCGAGGGCAGAAAACCTGCTGCCGAAAATCTAAACTTATCCTGGTTCCCCACAGGGAGGGGCAAAGAGAAAAGTACTGCTTTAGCATAAAAGATTGTCGGCACTTTGCAGTGAAATAAAATCGGGATGCATGTAATTTATACCAAGAAGTAGCATGCCCCAGACTAGACAGGCATGGGTAGGTGTCCTTTGAAGGGGGCTACCTGTTAATTGTTACAGGGACCTGGCGCATCACATTTCACAGAGTTGTGTCGTGTTGAGTTGACGTGAAGGGAACTGAACTCAGTTTCTAATACTGGCCTCACCCTGCTTTTATAGCAACCGTGGTCCTCAGGTTCCTGGAGAAAGGCAGAGAGACAGAAACTGTCTGGCTCACAGAATCTTTGAACTTTTGAACTGGTGTTCTTGCAAGCCTCGTGGAAGCAATGGCATCTTGACTCAAGTCTAGTTCATAGGGATTTTTACAGACATGTCCTGGGTATTGGCAATACTAATGGTGATGCCAAGGTTCATGACCACTCCTGTGCCCTGGGCTCCCGGCCCATGCCGGGCTCTTTATACACGCTGCTTCACTTACCCTCCTGTTCCATGAGGTATTATCATCCCCCTGCCCCAGGACATATGATGCTGAGACTCAGAAAGAGTAAGAGATGGTGTTAAACAAATGACACCTGTTACTACCTCTAGGGGAGGAGACCCACTGCGTAGACAAGAGCAAACAGCACAGCAATGCCTGCCACCAGCATCCCAGAATGTCAACCCGCTCCATGGTCTGCAAGTGTCAGGGCCACCAGGAAAGACACAACGCACACAGGCACTGGAGGGAACCGTGCTTTACTCACATGGAGAAGCGACAGCAGAATCAGCTTCAGTAGTAGGCATTGGTGCCCCAGGGCCTCACAAAGAGCCCCCTCCCTCCCTGCCAGGCGGAGATACAGTGCTGGGATTGGCCAGGTGCTGTGCAACGCACACACTTAAGCAGAACAAAGGAGCATATGCTGAATCTAGAGCAGGGAAAGACATCCCCACGTGAGGTGATAAATCCAGCACAGCCTGAGAGGGCTCCCTATTTCTTTCTTTTTTTTTTTTTTTTTGCAGTACGCGGGCCTCTCACTGTTGTGGCCTCTCCCGTTGCGGAGCACAGGCTCCGGACGCGCAGGCTCAGCGGCCATGGCTCATGGGCCCAGCCGCTCCGCAGCATGTGGGATCCTCCCGGACCGGGGCATGATCCCGCGTCCCCTGCATCGGCAGGCGGACTCTCAACCACTGCGCCACCAGGGAAGCCCTTTACTTCTTGACAAGGAAGTGTTCCAGGCTCAAGGCCCACTCGTACATGGCCAAGCAGGGGTGCACAAGATGGCCTTTCCCAACAGGTGGGACCAACTTCACATGATGGGCGGGTGGCAGGGTCAGAATTTGAACCTGCGTTTTTCTGGCACCAAAGCCCACGAGCCTTCTCACGCATGAACACTCTATGTCTGAGATGAGACAGTCTTCCCCAGGCACCTCTCACCTCTCACCATTTCCATACAGGAGACTGAAACATGTTTCAGTATCATTGGGGTTCCCTTGCCTACTTCTTCTGGTTAAGAAACTCAGAAAAACTGTACCACAGATCAGCATTACAACTTGCAAATAAATATGTAGTGTAGAGCAGGGCATAGATCAATAAGCTGGTGGGGGAACCAGGAGATTCCCACAGTAGCTCCCTCTTCCAAGTCTGCCCTCCTTCTTTCCCACCACAGTGCCGGCAGGCAGCCCATGGACAGCCGGAGTCCTCAGAGAAAAGATGGGCTAGGAGGTTTGCTCCCTCCCAGGACTTTAATGCAAATTCTCAATCTCTTCAACCTTTGCCCACACTCTAATACCAAGAAGAATATGTTAAAATCTGGGATTCTTGTGCCCTGAAGAATCCCCATGTACAGAAATTTAAAACAGAAAACTGGGTCCCATCAGGGAGAGGGAAATGAATGAAAGAAAAGTAATGCAGGAGAAACTAAAGAATTTGGGCAATTATACAAATACAAGGACACGGTAAGGACCATTCGGCCCTGAAGAAAATGAGATTGACACAGGTAAACCCCTTAGAAGAATCAGAAAAAGGAGAAAAAGGGATCAAAACCCTTCTTGCTTCAGCACAGGGTCCTGCAATTCTGTTTGAATATTAAGCCTCCATGTGGTTGCTATGAGGCTTTTGTAATATGACTAAACTCTACTGGCTAATTTGGGGAAGGGTTATTATCTACAATTTGCAGATAAGGAGCCAGAGGTGAAAGGAAGTTCAGCAGATGACCTATGCCCATCATGTTCATTTTAGAAGCCACTTTGGATTTAGCACTCAGATTTTCCAACTCCCTGCCTGATCCTCAGCTTCTTAGGGCAACATTACAGTGAATTCTCAGCTGTCGACATTTGTTAATGTGTAAGAACAGAGGCATAGATAATCCCAAATGGTGAGTATTGTCCTCGCCATGCCTGCTGCTCCGGACATTTGCTTTGGAAGACTCAGAAGGAAGACATCCTGCTGTCAGAGGCTGCCCCGTCCTTATTCCACTCCTCCCCTACTCAAAGCCGCCCCACCTCCTGTCCATGCAGACCTAGGGGCAGCAGATCAAGGGGAAGAGGCTGTCACGCTTTCCTAGGTTGGGATGGAGTAGTGGAGAGAGGCAGAGAATAAAGCGTTTCGATTTAAAAGGCCTCCTGCAGTGCCACAAGCTAGCAGAACAGTAACAGTAAATGAGACAGTGAATTGTGTCCACTGAAGACTTCCATATGGACGCTGATTCACTCTGTTAATAAGGATGTGCACGCCAGAGGTTGACTGTATTCTGATTTCATGGCTGGGGGATCCATGGTTCAGAATGGGGGAACATCCAGATTTGAGGTCAGAGTCCAAATTCCAGCTCCAAGCTCCTGATTCCAGTTTGGTTGGTCTAATTACTATCCTCTCCTAATGACTAAGGATGCTTTAGAGCCAGATGGCTTTAATGGCCGAGACCTGAGTAGAAATGCAAGCGACGCTTAAGGTGGAGAACTGGTGATGCTGGAGCCGAGAGGAGCCAGTCCTGATTCATTCAACAAATACTGAGCACCTACCAAGTGCCAGGAGGTGGGGTTGACACTGGGAGAGGAAAGCACAAGAATCAGACGTTGACCCTGGCCTAAAGGAACTCAGGGTAGGGGGGGAGATGGGGCATGTATAGAAATCTCTCTAATATATACAGAGAGGAAAGTAAGATGAGATTTAAGAGTTTCATTTACTCTTCAATTAACTTATTCATTCAGCCACTTGGGCACTGTATTTTGCGTTCTAGGTATAAAGATAAATGAAACTGATCTCTACCCCTTGAAGCTACCATCCAAATACCTAATCCGAGTCACCCAGGGAGTTTTTCAAAATACAGTTCCCCAGGTCCCCAGCCCAGACATTCTGATTCTGAGTCTCTGAAAGTGGCACCCAAGAAATCTGAAGTTCTCATTCTAGGTGTTCTCCAGGTTTCGGTACTAGTCCGGCGGGATAACAAGTGAAGGGAGCCCAGAGGAGGGAGATCCCGAGATAGAGAGAAAGGTTTCCTGGTTCACCTCTTCCAGGAAGCCCTCCCTGACCAGCCCAGCACCCTGATGTCCTCTGATCCCAACCCCCACTGCACATCCTGTAAGGGCTATAGTTTTCCTGGGTGACTGGGAGGTTTAGTCCCCTTGGTTCTTGGGTGTGTCTTAACCTCTAAAGCTGAGTGCTCCCATGTTCCAAGGTCTTTGTGATGAGGATTCCAGGGGCTTTGTGACACACAGTGGCTGGCTCTGTTCAAGTATGGGAGGTCAGAATAGGCCCAGTTCCTCCTGGGGATGCAACTCATAGGAAGATCACCTTCCCCTGCTTAATTAAAGCATCACTTAGGGCTCCAAGTGAGCTCTGGTCAGAGGCTGCTTTGAAGACAGCTAGCAGGGGCCATGACCACCCTCTCTCCTGAAAACAGCCTCTCTGCCAGGCAGTCGGCCTCCTTCATCCTGGTGGGTGCTCTTCATCAGCTCTGAGGCCCTCCCTCCCCAACCTCTGGCTTACATTAGGACCATTTTCCCCTGTTGGGTAGGAAGGACTAGAGCCCTGAGCTGGCCTTGAAAATGGAGCAGGGTAGGTTAAACCTTGGTCTCACCATCATTACAGACAACAGGACTGAAAAACACAGGTTCGTTTTTACCCTTCTATCTAAGCCAGTGTTACTTTTTCCCCGTATGTGACATTCTAACTTTAATGAGTCTAGGTCTGCAAGTTGTCTTAAAGATGCTGATAAATTTTCCATGGTGCTTTTGCCAACAATTTTGGTATGCTGCCACCAGGTGGCAGTAACGCTTTTGTGAGTAGGCAGTTCCATGTCCGATTAATGATACACTATTCGATTGAATTCAGCCTCAGTCATAAAATTTTCTATACAGTATATTTTTCAAAATCATAGTAACTAATTATAATGACCTTAACCAATCTCAAGTCTCATTAATCATAGTGATTTAGAGAGTGATACATAAAAAAGCAGAAATGAAAAACAGGCCTCTCTCTCCCGGAGTTTTAAATGTTATTGCTCTATTGAAGATTATCACGAGGCCTTGATTTGAATTTTCTTTATACCTCTCTTCATTTATCTGAAGTTAGAGAAGGATAATAATAAAATAACGAACTGTCATATAGCATTTATTAGGTACAATGACTGTTCTAAATGCATTACTTATAGTCAGTCTCATCATAACTCTATGAGGTGGATGAAGCTATTATCTTCACTTTGAGAAAACTGAGAAATGAGAAAATTGAGAAAAATTTCACAATGAGAAAATTGAGGCCTAGGGACTAAGCAACTTGCCTACAGACCCACAGCTAGTAAGTGGCAGAGCTGGTATTTAAACCCAAACTGCGGAGTCCATCTTCTAAATCAGTGATTCTCCAAGAGTGGTGCCTGAGTCTGCAGCATCAACATCAAATGTAAGAAATGCAGATTCTTGAGCTCCAGATCTTCTGAACCAGAAACTCTGGGGATGGGGCCCATCGATCTGTGGTTTAACAAGCCCTCTGGGTGACTCTGACGTGCAGCTGACTTTGAGAACCACTGTTGTTTTAAGCTATTTTTAAGATAACTATGGTATACTGATGATACACCCTCCACGCCTGGGTTACTAATAATCACCCAGATAACTTTCAAGTTGCACACATCCTCCCCAAGCTTTCTACTATCAATATGCCTGCCCTCCTTGGGCCACACCCTCTCCCCTTGGTAAGAATCGCTAACATGGTTACTGTTGGGAGTACGTCTTGTCCCTCAGATGAACTCAGGCTTTATTGAGGGCTCTGTTGCTATGAGTATTCAGAGGAACACAGCATCAAAAACCCTCATAGAAAGTTTTCCTTATCCTCCAGTGGCTTTCTTATTTTACTAACAATACTGGAGAAAATTCTTAAACCCAGTGATGCAGAGGGGGAAGGAGAGGAGAAAGATGTATGCTTGTAGCCAAGGCTGCTAGCAGATGTTAGAGAGGCTGAACCATTTAAGGCTCCCACTTCTGGACCCCTTTTCCAGAGGAAGCATGGCCAAGCTTTCCCCAGGTTTGCCCATGGAAAGTTTAACCTGCTTAGGCACACCACAAAGGTGGGAGGAGATTTCCACACCTGCCCTACCTGGCAGTACCCTTCCCAGGGGACTAGGAAAGGCACTACTGCAGAGCTGAAGAGTACCCAGCACCTCGAGGACTACCAGGGTCTCCTCCTGGATGACTAGGTCATTGTACCCAGATTGTGGGCAGGGTGTTAATAGGTTGGCGGAGCAAGGAACGGAGGAATATAGGAGGATGAAGATGGATTTGAGTGGCCATTGAGATGACCACCTCCTTTACTTTGAAGGACCCCAGATACAGATTCTATTCACTTTATTATTTTTTTTGGCCGCGCTGCACTGCATGACGGATCTTAGGCATAGACAGGAGGTGTGGATGTAGGTGAAGAGAGGAAGGGGACTTCCTGTGGAAATTCCTACACACACACACCACTGTAGCCCTCTGCAGGTGGTCAGGCTTTTTGTGCTTGTCCTTTGCTTGCTAGCAAATGTCTTAAATATTCTGGTGGGTGGCCCGTAGATTGCTCGGGTATGGGGAGATTCAGGGAAGTGGCTGCGCAGAGAGAAGTGGAGTTTGCTGGAAGGAGAAGTCAGTGGCTTTTTTTTTTTTTTTTTTTTTTTTTTTTGCTGCGCGCGGGCCTCCCACTGCTGCGGCCTCTCCCGCCGCGGAGCACAGGCTCCGGACGCGCAGGCGCAGCGGCCATGGCTCACGGGCCCAGCCGCTCCGCGGCATGTGGGATCTTCCCGGACCGGGGCACGAACCCGGGTCCCCTGCATCGGCAGGCGGACTCTCAACCACTGCGCCACCAGGGAAGCCCCCAGTGGCTTTTTATAAACAAATTCAGCCATGGCAAAGTAGGCAGGTGGCCAATTGTTGCAGGTAGAGGTTTAGTAATGCAAATTGTCCGAGCACTCAGCAGATGCCTTCTTGCGATGTTTCCGATTATCTCTGCCTTATTATGTTGATGCCATATCTTTTATTATAGTGTTCTGTGCATAGTACTTTGATTACTTTGCCACTTTCATTGTGTCCAACCCTTTTTTCATAACTTTGTTCATCATTTATTTTTTAATCTTTCCATGGCATTTAATTTTAAGGTATACCTTTTGTTAACAGCGTATGTAGGGCGTATAGTTTTTATTCAAACTGAAATTTCTTGTCTTTTACACTCCCTGGTGGCATGGCGTTGGGGTTAAGCACCCTGACTCTTGCAACAAACAGCTCAGGGTTCAAATCTCAGCTCTGATATTTACTGTACGACTTCAAATATACTAATTAACCCTCTAGGGCTCTGGTTCCCTAATATATAAAACAGTGTAACAACCTCTCCTACCTCATAGGTGGCTGTGAAGATTAGAAGGTTGGTAAATATAAAGTGCTTAGACTATCATCAGTGCTTTTTAAATGTTTACAACTAATAAGGGAATTTAAGCATTTATTTCCATAATCGATTTCTTTGGATTTCTATCATTTTTATGCTTTATGCTTTTATTGATTCCTTGTTGTTTCCTGTATGGTTTGTTTTTATTTTTTAAAGTAAATTTGAGGGACTTCCCTCGTGGTCCAGCGGTTAAGACTCCGCGCTTCCACTGCAGGGGGCATGGTTCGATCCCTGGTCGGGGAATTAAGATCCTGCATGCCTAAGATCCAACACGCAGTGCAGCGCAGCCAAAAAAATAAAATAAAAAATAATAAAGTGAATTAAAAGGATAACGTTCTATTCCTATAAATCTCTAATTTTAAAAGTAAAAAATAAAACAATTTCTTCTGACACTATCCTTCAATCTAATAAAAAATTGAATTTGTAGTTAATAATCTTTCCACAAAGAATACTCCAGGCCTAGATGGCTTCACTGGTGAGTTATACCAAATTCTGAAGAAAGAAATAATACTAACTCTATACAAACTATTCTAAAAAATTGAAAAGCCGGAATACATCCCTACTTATTCTATGAGGCCAACATTACCCTGATGCCAAAATCAAAGACATTACAAGAAAACAAAATTATAGACCAATATCTCTCATGAACAATGATGCAAAAATCCTAAATAAAACTGTAGTAAATAATAGCCAATGATGTCTAAAAAGGATAATACAGGGGCTTCCCTGGTGGCACAGTGGATAAGAATCTGCCTTCCAATGCAGGGGACACAGGTTCGAATCCTGGTTCGGAAGATCCCACATGCCATAGAGCAACTAAGCCCGTGCGTCACAACTACTGAGCCTGTGCTCAAGAGCCCGTGCTCTGCAACAAGAGAAGCCACCGCAATGAGAAGCCCACGTACCACAACGAAGAGTAGCCCCCGCTTGCCACAACTAGAGAAAGCCCGCGCTCAGCAACAAAGACCCAACACAGCAAAAAATAAGTTAAATTAAAATTAATTAAAATTTAAAAAATTAAAAGGATAATACATCACCAGCGCGGTTTATCCAAGGAATGATTTAACATTCAGAATAATTCAATATAATTTACCATTTTAGCAAACTGCAGAAAGAAAAACCATATGATCATCTCAGTAAATGCAGAACATCCCTGATAAAAACTCTCAGCAAATTAGGAAGAGAAGGGAACTTCCTCAACCTGATAAAGGGCATCTACCAAAAGCCTATGGTTAACATCATACACAATCATGAAAGCCTGAATGCTTTTCCTCTAAGATTAGGAACAAAGCAAAGATGTCTGCTCTCACCACTTTTATTCGACATTGCCCTTGAAGTTCTAGCCAGTGCATAAAACATGAAAAAGAAATAAAAGGCATCCAGCCTGGAAAGGAAGAAGTGAAACTGCCTTTATTCACAGATAACATGATCATCTATGTCAGGGTTAGCAAACTTTTTCTGTAAAGGTCAAGATAGTAAGTACTTTAGTCTTTGTGTGCCATACATCTCTGTTGTAACTACTTAACTCTGCCATTGTAGCATGAAAGCAGCCATAGACAACAAATGAGTGAATGGGCATGGCTGTGTGCCAATAAAACTTTATTTAAAAAAACAGATTAGATGCCTGATTTGGCCCATGGGTTGTAGATTGCTGATCATTGGCCTATGTAACAAATCCTATGGATACACCAAAAAAGCTACTAGGACTAATAAGTGAGGTTAGCAAGGTCGTAGGATACAAGATCAATATATAAAAATCCACTGTATCTGTATATACTAGCAATGAAGAGTTGGAAGTTGAAAGTTTAAAAATAACACTTTTACAGTAGCATCCCCCAAAATGAGACATTTAGGGATAAATCTGACAAAATACATGAATAACCTACACGCCAAAAACCACAAAACATTGCTGAAAGAAATTAAAGAAGATCTAAATAAATGCAGAAATATACTGTGTTCATGGGTCAGAAGATTCAATAGCGTTATCAATTTTCCCAAATTGATCTATAGGTTCAATGCAATCCCCATCAAAATCACAACTGTCTTTATTGTAGAAATTGATCAATTGACTAAAATTCATGAGGAAATGTATTCCTAAAGTTCATGCATTCCCTCTTACAATTAAGAATCCCAGGACACAGCCCCGCTCTGCCTGTTCCCTTCTACTTCCTGCTGAGTGTTGCAGTCTCTGAGTATAGGTTGGGAGATCATGATGGCCGTCAGGGGGGCAGAAGCCTGGCTCTGCTCAGCTCAAGTGACAGTGCCTATGCAGTCGGGACATGGCATCAGGGCAGACCCTGCTTCTCAAGGTTAGGCGAAGGCCAAGATTTTTTGTACCTTCTAGGGCCCATATGTCCTATTTTGGTTCAGAAGATGGAACATGTATGAGTCATTAAAGTGTACTGCTCAATCCATCCCAATAGAACATGGAGCTAGTGGAAATTATCCCCAATTTGGGCCTGTGGGCTCTAATTTTTAATTTCCAGGGCTGTTTTACTTCTAACACCTTTCTACACATGTGGTCAGTGGACCAGCCTCAGCAATCCCCTGGGAGCTTGTTAGAAATGTGTCATCTTGGGCCCCACTCCAAACCTTCTGAGTTAAAAACTGCATTTAAAGAAGATCCTCAGGTGACTCGTAAGCAAATGTAAATTTGAGTCACACATGTGCACATTCAGGTATATATTAATGGGAAGTTGGGAGTTATACACATCAGATATGTCTAGTCACCTGCCAAGCTCTGTCCATCACCACACGTTCAAGTCTGCTATGTGGCATTTCAAGACATTCTCTCCAATACAAGACTCCTAGGAATCTTCCCCTGTTCCAACAGGAATTCAACTCCTAATTATTGTTTTATGAGCATTTTAAATTACTTTGTATGCATTGCACTCACTTTCCCCTCACACACACACGCACGCACACACACACACACACACACACACACACACACACCCACCCCTGATGTAAACCAGAAACCATTCCTTATGATGCATTGTTCTGCTCTTTTAGGAAAGCTAAAATGGAGCTCCTGGATGTGTTTAATTAGTGCTTGTTTTATATTTTTCCATTATCAAAGCAGTATATATTATTATAGAAAAGTTTGAAAATATAAGAAAAAGGGGAAAATTACTTATAATCCTATCACTCAAAGATAATCACTGTTTTGTTTTTAGGTGGGTTTTCTCAGGGTTTTTTTCTAACAGGATTTTTTTTTTTTTTTGCGGTACGCGGGCCTCTCACTGTTGTGGCCTCTTCCGCTGCGGAGCACAGACTCCGGATGTGCGCAGGCTCAGCGACCATGGCCCACGGGCCCAGCCGCTCCTCGGCATGTGGGATCCTCCCGGACCGGGGCACGAACCCGTGTCCCCTGCATCGGCAGGCGGACCCTCAACCACTGCGCCACCAGGGAAGCCCCCTAACAGGATTTTTATAGTGGTTAATTCGCTCTAAGACTATATAATGTGAAGCTTTTATAATATGTAACAGATGTATGGAGTATGGTACACAGAGAGAGTAGATACTGAATACACAGTTTTGTTTTCTGCTTTTTGTCCGTTAACATTTGTATTTTCTCAGATTATTATTCTTTCCTTGTAAGCATCAATTTAAATGCCTCACACTATTCCATTAAGCATATAAACCATAGTTTACTTAACTATTCCCTTATTGCACAACAGTTAGAGAGTGCTTGCATTTTTCATTTTGGTAAGTAGTGTGCAATGAAAATGACTGTGCATACAGCATTTTTCTATATATTTTCAGTAATTTCCTCAGGATAAATTTCCAGAAGTGAGTCAGAGGCTGTGAACTTTGATTCACATTGCAAAATCCAGAGTATATCACTTAAAAATCACACTTAAAGAAAAGCCAAAGGTTCCTAACAGAGGGCTGAGGTGGTTGTCCTTGGCAGGTGAAGAGAAAACCACCCATTGACAAGACGGAATGGGATGGCTTCTTTGACGAGAACGGTCACTTGGCCAAGTCACGAGACTCCATTTGTGTTAACATCCTGGAAAGGGTATGGTCCTCAGCTACCCTTGGCCTCACCCCGGAACTGGGGGATATGGGCAGGCAAGGGGACAAGCATGGCATTGGGAGGGGCCCTTTTGGCAAGCATCTGGAAGGCCCACGACCTCTCACCTCCACCCCTCCCCAGGGTCTGCACCCCTTCGTGAGGACGGAAGCCTGGAAATTCCTTACGGGCTACTACTCATGGCAGAGTTCCCAGGATGAGCGGCTTATGGTGGACAGCACAAGGAGGTAGAACGTTCCAGATCCTGTCAGGGGAGGGTGGCTGGCGGTGCAGGTGGGAGGGGGTGCCCACCCCAGCCTGGTAGGTTCAGGCTTCTTCCTTCAAATGGACTTCTCTTTCCAAGAGACAAAATCCCCACGGCTCTGCCGACTCGGGGCCCACATTCAGGGGGCATCGGTACCTTCCCCCATCCCCACTCCCGACCCCGCACCCCAGCCCGGCCATGTTTACCAGTCCTCACTCTGCTGACTTAGGCTGGATCCCAGCACCTCCCAGCTGTCCTCCCCACACCGCCCAGCTCAGCCCAGCCCAGCCATCCCTAGACCTGTGCAGCCTTCTTGAGGTGGAGAAAATTCAGTTAAAGATTTAACTTTAACACAGTATTTAACTGAAGATCCTTCAATTAAATACGCCTGCAAAGACCCTTTTCCCAAATAAGGTCATATTCACAGGTTCCAGGGGTTAGGGCATGGAGTTCCCTTTGGGGGTCACCATTCAACCCACGACACCACCTAAGCTCGTTCTAATGATGGGCACAAAACACTGCTTCATCCAGTCCTTCTAATTCTGAGGCATAGGTGCTAGTGTTAGCCCCATTCTACAGACAAGGAAACTGAGGCTTAGGGAGGGCTGGTGATATCCCCAAGTCTTGACCCTAGTGGCAGACACCCAGTACTTAAGTTGTAATCCAGGATTCAGGTGCAGTGGTCAGACTGCAGAGCCAGAGGTTAAACCTGTCACCCCGCTGCACTCCAGGCAGACATCAGATGATGGTTAGGGCTGGCAGAGGCGGGGAGAGGGGAGGCAGCACAGGTAGCAGGCACTGCCTGGGTGAGGGCACTGCTCAGGGTTACCCCGACTGGCCTGGAAGGGAAGGCTGCCTCGTTCAGCCTCAGTTCCGTTCTCACAGGAAGAACTACAAGGCCTTATGCCAGATGTACGAGAAGATTCAGCCCCTTCTGGAAAACCTGCACCGGAACTTCATAGAGACTCGGAATAACATCGGTGAGCCAAGGAGGGTGGGCTGTGCTGGGCGGAGGGGAGGGTTGGAGGTCATCCCTGCACCACCTCAGTCACATCTGTGCGCTGGTTCCTGGGAGCTGCCTTGACATATGCCAGGAATTTTGCCAGCTAAACCTCGGTTAGTCTGTCCGCCTGGCTCTACTGGCTGCCCCTAGATGCCCAGCACTGTGTATCCCTGGGTGTATGTTGTTTCTGCTGTTTGTCTACATCTCTTCCCGCCTTGGCCTTGAACTAGATTGAATTAGTTCAATGGGGGGGTGGGGGGGTGGGACATCCCTGGCAAAGGGTACAGCCTGGTCAAAGATTTGGAGGTGGGAAAAAGCCCAGGCAGCTCAGGTTGTGGTGAGAGGCAAAGCCTGGTGGACTGATGTACCTTTTTCATGGCCCCCTTCCCAGGATGTCCTGGGTCCTAGCCTCTTGGAATGAGGGGAATAAACTCACCCATGGACCTTCTGCTGGAGGTGATCTGGTGCCTCACCATCCCTTGCCCCCCACCTAGCATACGACATCCAGAAACTCTATGACAAAGACCCCCTGGGCAATGTCCTTATTGATAAGAAGAGGCTGGAGAAGATTCTGCTCCTGAGTTACGTCTGCAACACCCAGGCAGGTGCGCCAGAGGGCTGGGTCTCCCTTCAGCCCCCTCTTCTCAACCCCTTCCTGGGATAAGGCCGGTCCAAGCCCAGGCTCCGCCCCTCCTCACTAGCTCCCCTCCACCCCAGAGTACCAGCAGGGCTTCCATGAGATGGTGATGCTTTTCCAGCTGATGGTGGAACATGACCATGAGACCTTCTGGCTTTTCCAGTTCTTCCTGCAGAAAACGGTGAGAGCTGAGTCTGGCTTACGGACCACCCCCATTCCTCAAACGACCCCTTGAGGTTTGGCAGGCACTGGCAGCCCCAGCCATTTCCTCCAGCCCTGAAGCAGCCCTCTGGGTCCCAGAGGAGCTTCTCCCATGGAAAGACAATGCCAGCCCCGGTGGGGTGTGTTCTGGCGGGGGGGTGGCAAGCATTGGAACTGAGAAGGTGGGTAATGATGCTCTGGGTCCAGCTCTTGTCAAACCTTGAAAGGTTTGGCAAGGCCCAGTGAGGCCCACCTTTCTCTGGGCATTACCCTCCCAAAACATGGCTCTGCTCCTGCAAATCCTCCACGGCTCCCCACAGCCTCCAGAATAAAATCCAGAAACCGCAGCCAGACATTCAAGGTTCTGTCTTCAGTCTTGTCTCCCACAGTTACCTTCACATGACCTGCATCCGGCCCCCCAGGGCGCCCCCCACACTGTGAGGTGGAGGGCTTTTGAAGGTGCTGCCCCCCATTACTCCCTTTCTGGAAAGCCTTTCCTCATGAGCTGTGAGAAGCTACCCAGAACCCACCCCCATCCCTCTCTCCATCCCTGCAACAATGTGCACACTGCTCTTTCCTTGTCCTGATTGGTCCAGACCCATGGCATGTGTCTGGAGGAATAACTGGTCTCACTGCATTGTGAGCCACTCCTGAGACATCTCCACATGCCCACCATACACACACACACACACACCAGACACAGACATGATGTGTGTTTGCAAACACACATACACTGACACTCAGACTCACACAGAGACACGTGCCCGGCCCAGAGCCAGACACGCACAGGGCCTCCAGAATTGGGGAGCTGATGAAGCAAGACTGACTCTTCTGATGCTTTCAAGGGGTTCCCTCCCTCCCACCCATCTTTCCCAGGAGCACAGCTGTGTCATCAACATTGGGGTGGGCAAGAACCTCGACATGCTCAACAACGTGATCAACTTCCTGGACCCCGTGTTTGCTGAGCACTTAAGTGAGTGCGCCCCTCTGCCATCTTACATGTCCTCCAACCAGAGCAGGCGTGGGAGGGGGCCGGGACCCAGTCCAAGGCAGTGGCGCCCAATCAGGTGAGAGGGAGCAAGGTCATTTGGTCTTTTCTTTGGGCCCCAGCGAGAGGGTTCATCTGGATGGGGTTGAAATCTGGACAGTTGAAAATCCACCCCAAACAGTCTCCAAGGGCAGATGGAAAAGTGACAGCCCAGGTCTTTGTATTTCCCAGTGTGTTTATGCGCTCAGTTGTTTGGCCTCATCTGTCTGTCTTTGCTTTATCTCCTGTTCCCCTGACCATGGCACCCTGCTTCTCTCCCCACAGAAGGGAAGGGTGCGGGGGCCGTGCAGTCCCTCTTCCCCTGGTTCTGCCTCTACTTTCAACGTGCCTTCAAGTCCTTCGACGACGTCTGGAGGCTCTGGGAGGTGAGGCGCTCCTCTGGGGCAGAGGATAGACCCTACCCCTAGGGCAGGCGGCAGGGAAGCCCTTTTCCTTGCCTCCCTTGATTGCTGGCTTTGGATGGAGTTCACTGGGATATATTGGGCCACTGAGCCTGCTTCCGCCCTGTTGGGAGATGACAGAGCATCAGTTGGTCCATCTGTTCGTCTAATCCCACCACTGTACCTTCTCAGGGCAGCGCAGGCAGGAGGGGCCTCGCGGCCTGTGCGGTGGAAGCCTGGCCTGCGTTCAGCTTCCCTGCCACCTTGCCTGTGCAAGGGGCCTCACTCTGCTCTCACTTTCCCAGTCACCTCTTCCTCGGCCTTCCCCTCCACCTGAGCACCCACTTCTTCTGAGCCCTGACTTCTGGAGAAGAAGGGGCCCCCAGGGACAGGTCGCACCTGCAGTTATTTGACCCTAGTTTCCGGGGCATCAGCAGATGAACTTCCCCGGGAACAGGCCCACCGCCCATCACTGCCCTGCCCAGTGGCTGCCACTGCCTGCAGGATCCGGCCCACCGCTCAGCCTGACATTCAGTGCCTCAGAAATCAACTCCCCCCACCTCACCCCTCCCTCCTGGCCTGCTGGTCTCCATGCTCAAGTCCATGACCACTGCCAGGCCTTTGGTGACACCCCTGGATTGCTGACTTTCCATCAACTGTTGCTTTGCCAAAGCTCCACTCAAATGCTACAGAGAGGGCTTCCCTGGTGGCGCCGTGGTTGAGAGTCTGCCTGCCGATGCAGGGGACACGGGTTCGTGCCCCGGTCCGGGAGGATCCCACATGTTGCAGAGCGGCTGGGCCCGTGAGCCATGGCCGCTGAGCCTGCGCGTCCGGAGCCTGTGCTCCGCAGTGGGAGATGCCACAACAGTGAGAGGCCCGCGTACCGCAAAAAAAAAAAAAAAAAAAAATGCTACAGAGAGTTACCCAGTCATTCTTGGCATTCTCCCTCTCTCTCTCTCCCTCTCCCACCTTCTGTCTTGCTCCCTCCCTCCTTCCCTTCTTTCTTCTCTCATTCTCTCTCCCTCCTCCCTCCCTCTCTCTAGTGAATTCCCTGAAGGCTTTTTCCCTGAGTCCCCCAACGGCAAGCACCATGCCTAGAAGCCCAGAGGTTGAATGAACGAATGACTGAATGAGTGAGCACGTCGGCAGCAAGGCCCAGACATGATGGACGGGGCCACGTGGCTGGTGGGTACCGCAACATCCCATAGGCGTCTGCAGTGTCAGGCCACAGGCCAGGCTGAGGCTCGCCCACCTCTGCAGGTCCTGCTGACGGGAAAGCCCTGCAGGAACTTCCAGGTGCTGGTGGCCTACAGCATGCTGCAGATGGTGCGCACGCAGGTGCTGCAGGAGAGCATGACGGGCGACGACATCCTCCTGGTGAGAGCACCCTCGGGCCCGGCCCGGCCCCACCGGCTCCTGGAGGCCCCCGACGCCCACACCATCTCTGGTGAAGGCCCCTGGGTCGGGGGCCCTGGACTCCAGCAGCCCCTTTGCCCCTGGGCAGGAATAGTGACGAGACTGACGTACCCCGAACACTGTGCTGCATGCTTTTAGAGACCAGCTTGTTTAAGCCTCATGACACGCCTGGCACAGAGGGGCCATAACGCTCATCGTCATCATCACCCGTGTTCAGCAAATGGGGAAACTGAGGCCCTGAACAGTTCTTAAGCTTTAGGCTTGACAGACTGACAGTGAACTCTTTGGCCCTAGGGTCCTCCTGTGACAAAAGACCTGGAATTTTCCAACAATTCTAAAAAGCAGCGGAAGGCTTTGTCAAAAACGTCTTAGAGAGCACCCCAATCATAAAATGAGTCATCCTAGAAGCCCATGCGACGCTCGGTGGAACCCCAGGACTCCCTAGAGCCCAGAATGAAAACTGCATTTACCATCTTCCCAATAGAGAAAATTCCATGGGTACAATTTCAGGCAGTGTGCCAAGCTGGTGGGGGGGGAGATCAGCTGGCCCCAGTGACTGCCGTGAGCGGCGGTCTTGTCCCCTTGAAGCGTCAGGTCGCTGCCTGTGCCCGGGGAGACCTGATTTCGCCCCACCTTCTCCCGGCACAGGCGTGCAACAACCTCATAGACCTTGATGTTGCTGAGCTGGTCTCTGCTGCCTGCACAGCCTACGCGGAGCTCATCCAAAAGGATGTAAGTTACCCCGATTACTTGTCCTCCTTCCCTTCCTCCTCCAAGAAGCCCTCCCCAGTCTCCCAAGCCCAGCCCATGGCAGGTGTATTCAACTTCAGGGACACAGCTTGTGCTATGTTCTCTGCCACCAACCCACAGGGCTTGCTCTGCATGGACTTCTTACAGGTTTGCCTGTGTAACTCCTGCCTCCCCAAGTAGATAGACTGTGCTTCCCGAGAACATGGCCCTCTTCCCTCGTTCCCTGCGTCCATCCCGGCAGATCTGGGCAGAGGGCGGGGCACCCAGGGGCTCAGGAGAATGTCACTGGCTGAATGAAGCGAAGAATGAGAGCGACAGACCAATGTCTGTCTGCCTCTACCTGCCAGAACCTTCCTCTCCCCCAGGTTCCTCAGCCATTAAAGGATTTCTTTCTCTGAGGATACTCACAAGGAACAGACGCCCTCAACAGACAGAATGAGGTGGTGCTTCAGCCGCGAGGTCAGGATCAAGTCCGATGGGGCGTTCGGGTGAGGGTGTAGGTAATACAGCTGTGACAGCAACAGCCTCCTGGAGTCATGGTTCATGGTAAGCAGTGTGTTTCCCGGGGGGGGCGCATAAGAGCAGAGACAGGATTGTTTAACGAGACGAGAGATTGCGAGGGCTAGAGAAAGGGCACACACTGGGAGGAGACTGTGCTGGTCAGCCATCCCTCAGTGGCTGAGGGCTTTCCAAGGCTGCAGTGGTTCTGCACCAGGAAACAAATGGTTGAGGGTATAACCGACCTTGAGAGCTGGCTGCCTCCTGTGGAAGAAATGGACGTGTCTAACAGGCTTGCTCCATCCCTGGTCCAGAGAGGAGGGCCCAACCCCATGGCTCCCCTTACTCCCAAGGTACCAGTCTCACGTGACATTGTTTTTCCAGAGCCTCCCCAGCAAACTGTGGAAGGTCACAGCCCAAATCTCTGGCTAGCAAGCGACTCCTCTCCTGGTTTCAAAGCCCCCTCACAACTGCACCTTCATTTCTCAGCCTGGATGCCGCCTCAAACTAAACTCTCTTTTGCAGACTTAATCTCTCCAGAGAATGCCATCTTTCCCCTGACTCGGGCAGTGCAGACTCTCCCTGGAGCAGCGGTGCCAGCCACCCGCTCTCCCCAGACTGTGCCCCAGCCCCGGGCCCCCCACTCTGCCTGCCCATGCTCTGAGGGGTACCCTGAGGACAGACATGAGGTTGGCCAGAAGGGGCTGAACCAACAGAGAGACAGGGGGCTGGCCAGGTGCCCCCATCCCCATAGCTGCTTGGCAAGTGTGTATACACACACACACACACACACACATGCAGAGCCCTGCCCAGTGGCTACACTTTTTCAGAGGGGGCTGATGGATGCGGGGGAGGGATCTGCTGTTTTGCTGTGGACCTGGCCCTTGGGGGTGAGGTACAACCATCCTTCTCACTCTCCTGCTCCCACCCTGTCACTCTCAGTGACCATCACTGGAAAGGCACTATGTCCCCAGTTAGCGTCTGGTCTCCTTCCCCTCAGGTGACAATCTCCCATCCCTGGCTGACTCTGAGTCTCTTGGCTGCTGTGTTTCTGCTGGAGGGGGTTACTCGGAAGAATGGGGTCCTGTTCCCCCCACCAGGGTCTTTTCTGCATGGCTAGAGAGCCAGCGTTTGCTGGGCAGGAAGGCACATGGGTACATTCATATACTGCGCTTCTCCTTAGGCTTCTGTTCCCAAGACAATTCATTTAAACAAGGGTTCCTGCATGGAATACAGTTCTCTAAGAACAAAATTGTGTTTCCAGTTTACCGAAGAACCAGAATAAAAGACATCTCGATGAGCTGTGGCCTTGGGAGGAGAAGCGTCCACAGAAACATCGGTGTGCATTTCCTAATGCTTCTTTTGGCCTGGTGGCATTAGTTGGCTTATGACTTTTGGTTGGGACATACACGCAATGCCAAACATCTATTCCAAAACTAAACAATTCAAACACTCGCCTTCTAGGCCAATGGTTTTCAAACCTGATTTTAAAATCATTGGAGCCTCGTTGTTACAAAATCTATACCAGGAGCCCAATGGTTGAAGTTTGGGTGGGAAGCCCAGAGCCCTCCTCTCTGTGACCCCCCCTCAGACCCCTTCTTGAAGGTCATCATTTTCTCCAAGGTACCTCCAAGGAAGCTCTAGCCTACTGGGAGCATGTTTGCAAACCTCTGTTGCTCTTAAAGATGAACTGGATTAAGTCTTGACACTGAATTGATCCAGGTTCAGATAAATTCCAGGTGACATAGTGATGGAAATAAAGATCTCAGAGGAGCTGAACATCTCTCAGCTCATCTGCTGTGCTCCCAGCTGGTGGACTGTAGATTAGGATCTTCCCACACTGCTGTGTGTATCACAGAGCCAGCACAGACTTCTCCCCTCTTAGTTGATCACTTTTATCACCCAGTGTTATTTTTCTCTAGTAAGGTCCAGTCCTGAGATAGAACTATGGGAAGCATTCAAATCCTAGAGACTAAGTTCCCTTCAGTGTAGAGACTGTGCTGGTCTAAATAATTTGTTAATTCAATAGACATTTACAGAGTCCTTACTGTGAAGTTACCCACTGTCCAGGCACAGAGAATTCCACGGTGGAGGAAAGAGGGACACAATCCCTGCTTCCATGACACGTATAGTTGAGTGGGAACCAGGTAATCACCTTAAAGAATGTGTAATTGCACATCCCTTTTGTGCTCTGAAGGAAAGGAACATGGTTCTAGGAAAGAAGATAGAAATTAGTGGTGGTGGTGGTGATGCCAGTGACAACGGCGGGGATTCAAGCATGATGGTTGTGAGGACGATGGTGGGCGGGAGGAGTTGTGATGTTGCTAACAATGGTGGTGAATGACTGTGGTCATGATGTCAGTGAGGGCAATAGTGACAGTGGTGGTGGTGGTGGTGAAGGTGATATCAACGGTGCTGTAGTATTGGTGGCAGAGGTGACAGTATCAGTTTTGGTGATGATGGTGGGGATGTTGATGATAACGGTGGTTGTTAGTGATGTTATTGGTGTCAGGGGTGGGGGGGTTGGTGGTAGAGGTGCGATGTCACTGACGATGGTGGAGGTGGTGGTAGTGGTGATTCAATTCCAGCAGTGGTGGAGATGAAGATGTCAGTGGTGGTGACAGTAGTGCTGGCTTTCATTCAGTTAACAAAAACTGCCTACAATGGCCATCTCTGTATTGATATTGGTGATGGGGTTGGTGGTGACGGCAGTCATGGTGGAGATGAAAATAGGGATAAATTCATTCTGGAAAGACTAGTGTCTACACACTTCCAATGAGCAAGACCTAAACGTAATATTTTTAACTGAGCCATGGTGGTCATGAGCATAGAGATAAAGTAAATGGAAGCGCCCAGGCCCTTTCCAAGCTTTCCAAAACTTGGTCCTCAGCCTGATATGAAAGTTTAGATTGGCTATATCTATTCTATGACCTCATCCCATCTCTCCTCCTTTCACTCTTGTTCCAAGCCTCTTCCCTGGAGGTCGTTCATTTCCCTTCTCTGGCTACCTTGAATGACCCCAAGACAACTCTTTATTCCTGGAGCCAGGATAATGGCTCTCTATCCACCTACAGCTTCACAGAGGTGGCATGTATAAAGACCCAAGTTCTCTGGGCCCCAGAGTCTGTGTTTCTGACTCAGAGAGGGATCAAGGAAATGGGCTCTGCACCTACCCTCCAGCTGGCCAGCAGAGCCCAAGCCTGGGCTGAAGCCCCTGACCTCTGTCCAGTGAGGGGGAAGGGCTACACCTACTGCAGGGGGAAGGACATAACTAGTGGGACATAGTGAGAGGGGCCTCCACTGCCCAGGACTCAACCCCATTGCTGTGATCAGACTTGAGTTTGGAACACTGGCCTCTCAAGGGTACAAGGGAGGAAGAAAGAGAATGAGTAGGAATTGAAGGAAGAAAAAAGAGAAATTCTAGAAAATTGGGGGAGGTAGTGAAATAGGAGGGAATGTGGGGCTTCTTTCTCAACCAACTAAAGGTCATCTTAGTGACCATCAGCAGAGACATCAGTGCTGGCTGAACACAGCAAAGTGACAAATGGTACTTGTGTGCTGATCTCCAAGGCTGACGCTTTTCATGGATGTGCTTCCCAGGCCACTGCCCCATCCCAACCACAACACACACACACACACACACACACACACACACTGCAGCCTTGCGGGTATCACTGGTGGTTTTGTTTTTCAATCTGATTGACATGTAACTATGTCGGAAACGTCTTTTTTGCCTGCCTTTCAGAGAAAGGATGTTCAGGTCCATTTAGACCAAAGGAACTCTCTAGTCCTTCTCCCTTACTGCACTTGCCACCCTCCCCTCCACACACACACATACACACTTCGATCCATCACCAAGTCCTGACAGTTCTACTCCTACATAGACCAGTTTCTCAGTTCTGTCACTGCTGGGGCGAGAGTGTGGCTTGACCGTGCTCTCTGACCCCTTTTCCTCTGGGTGGACTCCGGCCAGGGTCTGCAAGTCCAGAGCTCATTAGTGCTGGGGCCTGAGCTGCCTCCTTAGTGCCGTCGCCAGCTCATAGTCAGGAGGGGCTGACCCAGCTCTGGGGCTCCTGGTCCGGTCACCACCAGCCCCAATGGGAAGCCTCAGGCCCCAGAATGTGGAGCCGCAGCCCGCTTCCCAAAGGGCAAGGCAGCCAGTCCTCCCTAATCCCACCCTCCCACTAACCCCTTAGGGGCCTAAAGCCCCAGGGGGAGGGAACTGTGACAAGGGGAAATGGGCTGGAGCTCCAGGAGGTCAGGAAGGAGGGCACAATAGTGATAGCTGCACTTGCTGAGCAATTCCTATGTCCCAGGCCCTGTGCTAAACATGTCACAGGCTTCCTCTCCCATAATCCTCGAATTCAGAAGACAGATGCCATCATCACCCTCATCATCACAGCAAAGTTAGAATGTGAACGCTGACAGCGAACACCAGAGCCCCCACTGTTGGCACCCCAGCCTTGGTCCTGGGGCAGGTCCCCATGTTCATGTCTTCACCTGCCCACAGCCTTAGGGTCTGCCCTCTCCCACAAGGCGCACACCCGAGTCTCCTGTCTGGTCCTCCTCAAGGCAGACCCCCATCTCACAGGCCACCCTTCCCCTGGCAACCGAGGACCCACAGGCGGGCCAAGACGTTCTGGGGCTGCACTACCTGGGGGGACGTGCAGGGGCTCTGTCCCACTTCCCTTATCCTGCCCTGGGCAGGATATGCCTGTTATGAGCCCAGAAAGTTCGGGGAAGGCCAGATTACAGCCGCGTTTACTACAGCTTGTTTGAAACAACATTCCTTCTCCAGGATGGGGGCTGGGCTGGGGCTCTGGGGTCGCAAGGACGTCAGTGCGCAGGGCTTGAGCGTAAGGAACCAAGAGGGGCTGCTGGGCCTCTCTGCCAGGCGTGG